ACTTGCAAAAGTGTGTATTTCTACAAGAATTCTATTGGGATTAGAGTGTACTGGGATCTTTCTACAAAACCCCAGGCCTTGGTCTTATTTTGGTAAATATGATTCTTGTTTTTTAGTTACTCATCTTCACCCTTGCGTGACTATCCTTGCAAAAGGCCACTGGCAGAGAGGGACACATCCCTTTGGGAAATAATACTGTCAAGTCAAAATATACTTCCGTGGGAATCTCTCTACTGGTTTGTTTTGGAACTGTGCCCCTTGCAAGAAAGCATATTCTCCCACCTACATTTAGCTCCTCTATTGTATGGATTCATGCATGGGGTGAAATGACTAGGAGCTAAGGTGAATTCATCTGAACCAACTTTAGAAGCTCACGACACTGTCCTTTATTTGTGTGTATTATTCTTCCAGGACTAAAATCTGCACAGATAGGATAGTAATTCCATGAAAAAGCTATGGTTACTTATCTTAAAATATTATAATCATATCATCACTTCATGTTGTGGGTCTACCTCCAAATTCAAAGTTATCCAGTGAAACTAAATGCAGGAAAATTCAGGACCAACAGAAAGAAATACTTTTTCTGAATGTAATTAAACTGCTCCCCTATGAAGAAAGACTACAGTAACTGAGCCTCCTTAGTTTGGAGTAAAAGAGGGTAAGGAACATGATAGATGTATATAAATTCATTCACATCCACAGATAACAGGGAGAGAGAAAACTTCTTTACCCTTCCTTACAATGTTAGAAGTTGAAGGCACCCACCAAAATTAAATACAGACAGATTCAGGACCAACAAAAGAAAATACTTTTTCATGCAGCACAAACTGTGGAATTTGCTATCAGTAGTTGTAATGGAAGCCAATTTCTGTCATTTTAAAAGGGGACAGGAGAGGTTGATGGAAGTTTAGGCTATAAATGGCTACTAACACTGACTGGCTGTTCATCACTTCCTGAATCATAGGTAGCTTACTACGTATATGCCATGGTTGTTGGGAAGTGACAGGATTCTCTATACTCCAGTCTAGGCTTGTGAGCTTCCCAAATGTTGTTTAGGGTATCTGGCCATGGTGTGACACAGAATATTAGACTACCTGAACCTATAGCTTGATCTAGGAGGGTCCTTCTGATGTTCCTATGTCTTTAAACTTGGGACTTCAAATATGTAATATAAGAAAGACTCTAAAAATAAATCTTTACAGTTTTACTTAGAACTTTTTATATTTTTTATCAGTAGTATAACCCAGAGAACAGTTGCAAAATCTGAATATGATGGGAATATGAGAATCTACATTCAGCGAATTTTGCATTGTCTCTTTTCCCAAGTTTATCAAATGTATCATGAAAGGTATTTAGTACTGTATACCATGAATAATACACAAGATATTATCAGCACTACAGGTCTATGCATCTTTCTGCATACGGACCACGTGTATTGCTTCTGCTTTTTTACCCCAAAAAGCTTCTTTTTGTAAGCAAGCTAAAAACACTGTTATTTTGGCACTGGCACTGTAGTAGACTAACGACATTCGCTTGTATGTATATGTTTTGATATCTTGTTGTGTTGCTTTATATCATACATTGCATTTTAAATTGTATATAAGAAATGTTAATATTGTATAATGCTGGGATATGGATAACATGATAGGCAGAATAAAAATATTCTAAATGAATAATGTGATCTTGCAAATCTTGGAAGGAGCACAACAGGAAATGGGCTGACCTAGATTCTGTCTTTTTATATATTGGGGTTAACATGGGTTTCAGCTGAAAAACAATACATACGCAACACCATGAAGCATTACATTTGAATTAAAGTTTCTATCCCAAATCAATTACTTATTGATTTGCGATAGAAACTTTAATTCAAATATAATGTACCCTCCATCTGCCCAACAATGTTAGTTGTCCCAGATATGGGGACAGGATGCATAGATTGTACTTCATTCATCATACTTTAGTCTGTCACATCAGATGTACATTAAGTTGTGCCTATATCACTAGAAATGCCTGCCATTTATGAGAAAAATGCTGCTTTATAAGCATTATCTGGCTCCCCCCCCCCTTTAACTGGTATAACATATTTTGGCTAATTTGATGGGTTAGGAGGTACCTTTAACATTCATTCATTCATTCATTCATTCATTCATTCATTCATTCATTCATTCATTCATTCATTCATTCATTCATTCATTCATTCATTCATTCATTCATTCATTCATTCATTCATTCATTCATTCATTCATTCATTCATTCATTCATTCATTCATTCATTCATTCATTCATATCAAATTTGTCATTTCCCATCTCATTAAAAAGCAACCCTGGGCAGTTTGTGGAAAAGATAAAAGCAATTAAAATACAATATAAAAGCAGTCTTAAATAAATAATAAATAAATTCCAAGAATTGATGGAATTGGCGAGTAGCTCAGGGAGTACCATCAGGGCGCCAGTCACCATTACTTTTCAAAACTTCTTGTGCTTTGAAATCATTCCTCTTTGCTGAGGCGCTAAAAACTTACCTGTCTATATCCTGCAATGCTAGGTGTCCTAAAAGACTAAGATTAATTATTATAAAATTATTATAAGATACAAATATAAGAATAAATTAATTCTTAAACGATATTAAAAATTTATTATTATTATTATTACTACTACTAGTAGTTATTATATCTGGGCTGCAGAAATCCAGCTGACCACTAGCTGTCAGCAAAAGGTTGTGGTTTATTATATTGCTTTGCTGCCATCTAGTGGTAACCTGGAGTTTTGCAGCCCAAATACACTAGCCCCAGCTAGAAAAGAACTGAAGAAAATGTGGAGCTGTTCCCTATTTATCCTCCACCCCTTTAATCTGCTTCTTGAATTGCTGTTTTCTTTCTGCAAACAAGCTGCAATCACCTCTTTTCCAGGTGCTTAGTATCAGCCTTACCAGGTAGACCAGACAGGAAACATGGCCAGATAAGATAGTTCTACTTCATTGTAAGGCCACATTAACAGAATCTTGCAAGTTCGAAAGTACAATTCTCCCAGTCTCCTCTACACCCCAAGAAGTTAGGGAGGGTCTCTTCTGAGCCTCTTGCCCCGCCCACTATCCAGCTGTGGTACACTGTCTCTTATTTGACCATTCCCTAGGCAATGTCTCTGGGCCCTGTCTCCAAAGGTCATTCACACCTACCATTACATTTAGCTTCTAGGGCTATTTCCATGTGGTAGAAAAGCAGGAACAATGAAGAAAATTCAACTGCTGCTCTGAAGATAAGAGGCTGTGGTATCTTATCTCAACTTTAAGCCTCCTTAACCTGTGAAATCAGAGCTTACACAGAATTATCCAGTAGGAATCATGAAATAGTTATTGGCATGTCTTCTACTTTATCCTGCCAATCTTTAGAGTATTTATTTACTTCTTAACTGATCAAGAAAAACACTGATGTGATCATTGATGGAAATAAGTGTTTGCAGAAAAATTAATATATTTAACTGGGTTTTTAAAAAAATTATTTTTATTTTTTTAAAATTATACTTGCTTCTGTGTTTTTCATGGCAGCCTGGCATGCCAAAATAAAGAAGGCAAACGTATACCCACCCTATGAAAAGCTTCATCTCTTAATGTTTTATAAAAACTCAGGATAGTAAATATTGCTTTGCAGGAACTTTAGATGGAACAGTCTTTTTCATATACTTGTATAACCCTAACCAAATTATTTTTTAAACTCTAACACTTAAAAGAAGTGGATGTTACACATAAACTACTATTGACCTGAAGTACTTCAGTCTGGATATGTTAATGCCCATGTAAGAGGCTGCTTGCAATAAATGAATACATTTTTGAAAATGATATGAGCTCTATGGGATAAGGAACATCTAATTTGTGAATTCTATAGAAAAGTGAACATTTAAAAGTCCATCATCATGTTAAATATGATGCCCCATTCTAGCTCCAGTAGCCACAGTGCATTATGTTTTTAAGGTGGTTATTTTCATGAGTAACCAAGGAACCCCAAGTGGTTTTAAAATTCTGTGAAAGTGTAACTAATCCATTTGATTCATATTTCACACTGAAGATGTAGTTGACAGAAATATGTTCCTATGTGATGGACAGAGATATGGACAGAAGCTAAACAGAGGCAAAGGTTTCCTGAAATGGAAGCTGATTCCTGGTGACTACGTGGGCTAGTCTATGTACATATTTTGGCAACGATTCACAAACAATTTACCAGGAAGTTTTTCCTGCTTCCCTTGGGATTTTCCCCTCAAATATTAACTAGCTTGGCCCTGCTTAGCTTTTTCTAGATCAACCAAGGTTACTTAGGTGCTACCACCTGCTCCGTTATAGGCTGAATGCTAATAAAGATGAAATCAGTAACTGGACAGTGTATATTCTCCTATCACGTCTTGAAAGGAGACTTGGAAAAGGCATAAGGAAACTTATCAGTTTCTCATTTTAAAATTATCACTTAAGATATGATTCTTTGAAATGAAAGCCATGTGCCCTTATACGTGTTGGTTAAAGATAGTGTCTCTAGTAAAATACAGTGATGCTCAATTTGTATTTTTGTATAGTATTTAAGAGTAAGCCTAGTATATAAATAAAGCTAAGTCAATAAATAACAAAACATAATGTATAATATTTTGTGTGAATCAAGGTTACGTGCTCACATTTATATGCAAATACGATTTGAGCATGGTGTATATATTGGAAAAGTATTGCATTGTCACCATGTGTTCTACCTTTTCATACAAAACTATTTCTATACAGTGAAGAATGTGCATACAATGCAAATGTTCTCTCTTATCTTGGTATCTGGTAAATATAAAACATGCATGCCCAGGGCCACATGAAAAATACATGACATTAAAGACTAGATTCCAAGAATGTTTAGAAAAAAATATGTATGGAAACCTATGAAGTCTTCGAGAATCTCAACAGCTTTTCATCAACTTATCAATATACTAATAATTTTTATATGCACAGTTAAATAAAAGAAAAATAGAGTAATTACATCTTCATCTCTTTCCAGCTCAAGGCCAGCCTGCATAAGGTTGCTTTCATACTCTTCTCTGCGGAATCTCTTGTCGTCTTCATGATAATCCATGTGAGGTTCACTTTCATCCATGCTAAGCTGCCCTCCTTTTCCAGGAAGTGGTTTATCTTGCTTAACACTTCGAGGCCCCAAGTCATTGAAATGAATTCGCCGAGTGAGTGTTTTACTGAATGAGGACTTCTTGTAGTGGTAAACCAGAATATAATCCACTTTCTTTTTCCCATCTCTAAAATAAAGTCCATATTTGCAGTTGGCATCTGGATCTTGTGAGAATGAATTTAATAACTGTAAATGAAACGGAAGAGACTCAAATAAATCTGTTTTTAACATTACACATTGAAATAGTTAAGGATTAAATAGTTATTTTCAGACACAGCAAAATAATCAATGGGCAATCTTATCGGATTGTGAATTTACAAAACCCTGTACTTTAATACTTAAAACTTTCTGGCAGGTCAGGGGCCTGAAGTGTAAAAAAACGAACAAACAAACAACCAGCCATTTGAGGTAACAGATGACTTGCCTCGTTTGGTTTGCACTGTGCACTGGCTTTGTGAAATCACTGTATGTTAAGATCTCAAGTTACTGGAGATACAGATCATGTTGAGTGTTTGTTTTTTTAAATTGTGTCTTAAACACTGCTGAGATCGTGTGCTTTACCAAGGATATTTGTCTTTTTACTACTGACAAATAGGTTAATATTATATTCAGATATTTGTCACTTTTCTTCATCATCTGAAAAAGAGATCAGTTTTAATAGAGACTGAAAGGAGACAGCTGGTCATACAGCTCAGCCAAAAAGGTCTGTGGACTTCAGCCAGTAAGGGACCAAGGTTCAGATTTTGCTTTATTCTTGATTCTTTCTCATGGAAAATTAAAATGGAAATACAACTGTCATCCTACCCCCTGCAGCTTCATGATAACCAAAAGTAGTATTGCAATTAAAGTTTGGATTGTTCAAAAGATACATGCTTCTTAAAAATAAGTTTCCAAATAATAAAGCAAGGGTTATGAATCCTAGTTCATCTTTCATTAAAAGTACTTGTTGCTTATTCAGTAAATCATGATTAAGCAAGCCATGGTTTAGTGTAATGCATGGGCACACTTAGTGAGGATAAACCAAGTTTACTCAGAGATGTACAGTGGGATGTGCATCTGATTTACAATTTCTAAAACAATGATGAAGCTGTCAAACTGTCAACTGAACATTCCTTTAAAAAATTAGATTCCTTTTAGTCCCTCTCCAGAAAAGTACATGATTGATGCACCTTCCTTTCTGCTTGGTTTATAAGAAAAGTAGATGCAATCCCATGTTTTTATGATTTACATAAAGGAGTTTTGTTTGTTAAAGATCCTGTGAGCAACTATAGGGCACTTCTGATGTAACATCCAATGATGCAGAAGCTGCTACAACAAAGATTATTTCCCACATTGAAATGTTGCATGTTAGAAATCATGTGCATCAAATTCATTCCTTCCTTCCAAAACAGAGGATATGCTATGGTAGCATGGCCTGTAGAGTGGACTCCTCAGATAAATGTGAATTAAGATATTACTGAGAAGAGGGGCATGTTCCCATGACACTAAAGGTAATGTCAGTAAACAATAAAGTAACAATCCTAAGTGTTAGTA